ACTGCGCATATATCGCACAATCAGCACACAATCACAATCTGATTAATATTACCCTGGATAACCCAAACTGTCTTTGAGGCACTAGAAGTAGAAGGTTAATAGTCACTTGACTTATCCCACCGGGTACCCATTTTCCGCTGGGTGACCCGAGGCAATTTTGAACGGCTCAAACAATGTCATATTTCTAACTTTTTCAGCTGGCAGTTGTGGCATATAGTTTAACCTGTTGCAGTTAGCAACAGTTGGTTTGCAAGAAACATGATCACTTGTTGAATATCCAAGCACTTCTAATTCCTTTTAAACATCTTGGTTCGATATACATATACATATTCATATACATTTTCCTTCCAATGATGACTCCCTAATATATTCAAGAGCTTCTGATCTATATTTCAATATGGGTGAGGTGAGGTGAAATTGGGTTTAACGTCGTGTTTGAGAATATTTCGCTCATATGATGACGTGCATGCAAGTGTGTGTATGTATGTGCGGCTGCTTGTACTAGCCCAGACTGAAGCTGGTTTTATAGTGCTAGCCCACTGAGGTACCATGCCGCAGTGAAGCATGAATACCCCACTCAGACACATTATATTGACTCCGAGCCGACCAGTCCTTGTTGTACCCATTAATGCCGAGTGCCAGGCAGGGACCAACAAGTACCATATTTTAACGTATTTTGGTATGACGCGGTCGGGATCGAACCCGTCGACCTTCTGCTCTCCGGGCGGATGCTCTAACCACTACACCACGGAGGCGGACATTTCATTGTGGCCAGCATGGCAAGTATGTTGTTCAATTTCCTATGACCTTTACTTGACCAATTTGCTTCAAATGTCATGAAATTTAGAATAAGTTTATTTTCGGGTTTTTTTCACTTTTTGAAGTTTCAACCATTTTTTCTCAGAAAATGCAGGTTTGTTTCTTTCAACATCTCCTCTAGCCGAACTTCTGGTTTCTGATGATGTCACATTTTGTTCAACCAACCGTCATTATCTATTTAGTATTTAAGTAGAAAATACTTCACCCTCAATGCGGACAACAACTGTCACGACAACAAGGGAATCGAACCCGGGTCTTCGGCATGATGAGCAAAAGCTGTAACCACTAGGCTACCCCACTGCCCCTTCTGAAGATTGTTAATATTATATAAAAATCACCAAATTTTGAGTTAGCTGTTTTCGGAACTACAATATATTTTTTCTGGGCCCCAGCGTTTAATAAATTAGGATCCTCATGCAAAGTCAGTGAGTGAGTGAGTGAGTGAGTATGGTTTTACGCCGCTTTTAGCAATATTCCAGCAATATCACGGCGGGGGACACCAGAAATGGGCTTCACACATTGTACCCATGTGGGGATTCGAACCCGGGTTTTCGGCGTGACGAGCGAACGTCATGCAAAGTCAGTGTACAGTCAGCTCACTGTCAAACACTTGAACCTTTGAAGGTCTGGGTTAGAATGTGCCTTCAGTAACCCATGCTTGTCGTAAGAGGTGATTAATGGGATCGGGTGGTCAGGCTCGCTGGCTTGGTTGACACATGTCATCGGTTCCCAATTCCGCAGATCGATGCTCATGCTATTGATCACTGGATTGTCTGGTCCAGACTCGATTATTTACAGACTGCCGCCATACAGCTGGAATATTGCTGAGTGCGTCGCGTAAAACTAAACTCACTCACTCAAACACTTGAGCTGTATGTTGCTTGAAGGATACAATTTTCTGTGCCAGTATACAGCCCTAATATTATGGATGGATTGGCATTCTAAAAAATGCTCATTATTATTGTTTACTATTTCATTTTTATTTGGGAATCGTCATATTAAACATAAAAATAAGTAAAATATGGTGACTGAAATTACTCAAGTATAATGTCAGCTTGTGATCTGAAAATCTGCAAATTATGAGAATAATTTTGTAGTGAAGGTGAAAAAAAGGTGAGATTCTACATCATCTGAATAACGAATTAAGATTGTGGCATTTTCATGAATAGCGAATTTGACTTACTTTTCATTACGTAAATGTTAGCTGTGACTATAAGTGTAAATAATTTATGATTGTATCAAGAATAGGTTCAATTTTTCATGAAATGTGATGAATTATGTTGGATAGTGTGAATTATTCACATAATTAACCAAGGAAGGAAATCTTATCACTGATATCACAGACGTAATGGTTTGCAGCTCACTGCAGATGGTTCCTATCAACAAACATGATGTGCCGCTCGGGTATTTTTCTGAATGAAAATTTGGGGAATGGCAAAGTTGTGTTTTTAGGTAAAAACTTTAAGTTGTAAATTAGCAGAAAGTCACAGCTTTTAAGATTTGGGGACTTACAATTAAGGAAGTGAACTATTTGTGGTTAATTATGTTGTGTTAAATTTTCAAATGGTATTAAACATGAAATCACTGACCCATGTAGGTGTTTGCCATTCTGTTACACTGTTAGAGTGAGTTGGGTTTGATGCTGCTTTTAGCAATATTCCAGCAATATGACAGTGGGGGAACTACAGAAATGGGCTTCACACATTGTTCCCATGTCGGGAATCAAACCCAAACCTTCGGCGTGATGAGCAAACGCTTCAACCGCTATGCTACCAGGTACCTCACCACCTCCTACAGGCGATGGTTATTAATATGGAGTGAGTGAGTGAGAATGGTTTTAAGCAATATTCCAGCAAAATCATGGCGGGAACACCAGAGATGGGCTTCACATATTGGAGTGAGTGAGTGAGTTTAGTTTTAGGCAGCAATCGTACAGCGGCGGTCTGTAAATAATCGAGTCGGGACCAGACAATCCAGTGATCAACAGCATGAGCATCGATCTGCGCAATTGGGAACCGATGACATGTGTCAACCAAGTCAGCGAGCTTGACCACCCGATCCCATTAGTCGCCTCTTACCACAAGCATGGATTGCTGAAGATCAATATTCTAACCCAGACCTTCACGGGTTACTTATTGGACCGCTGTTGGGAAGGAAACCAGGGTCATGGGTCATTTTATATGGATACCATCTTCTTTGCCAATATACAGCCCTAATATACTACCCATCAAAAGTTTAGACTCACTTAAAGCACTCACTATATGTTATGTATATGTATGTGGTTACATCGGAAGATGAATTTCTCCACCAACTTGGGGGAACCAACTGAAAACCTTATGCAGATGAATTGCACAAGGATGATGCTTCAAATTGCGAAAGGCATGAGCAAATGTCGTGCATGTGAACAGATTCGTTTTGGTGTAAAGTTTTGTTAAGAATTCGCCAATTTTCACAGATTTTAATCATTTACTGAACTCATGACAATAATCTTTTCAATGTTACGAATATGTTTTACAATACACCAGTTCATAACTAAACAGTACCTTTAAACAGTATGGAATATTTTGCAAAAAGCTAGTTTAGAACAGTGGACAAGTAAGTGGCTACATTTACACTAGTGAGTCTAAACTTTTGATGGGTAGTATAGTATGAATGGATTTGGCAATCTAAAAATGCTCATTATTACTGTTTATTATTACTTTTTTATTATTATTATTATTTTATTGGGTGTGTGTGTGTGTGTGTGTTTGTCATATTAAATATTTAAATAACTAAAAATCACTTTAACTAGTAACCCCACTGCCCAATTAATATGGTGGGGAGTATAAGTCAGCTGGACTGTTTCAAGATGTTTCATCGCTTTAAGGGGTGGTGGGGCAGCCTTATGGTTAATGGTTAGCTAGACATGCCGAAGACCCAGGTTTGATTCCCCACTTTGGTAAAATGTGTGAAGACCATTTCTTGTGTACCCCTCTGTTATATTGCTAAAAGCGGCACAAAACTAAACTCACTCAATCATAAGACCTAAAAATAATGTTGTGGTTCCGATTACCCGACCGACCCTTGAGGTCTGGTGCCGACCCTATTTTTTTGAGCGGATTGAATACAAATAAGCTTTCAGATACCATTGTTTTTTCCCGGCACTGACAGATATCGGTCATTCTGATAGAGAAAGTCGATATGATGGCCGCAAGCTTGATTGAATAAACAATTGCACATTGATACATGTGTTATAAGTTTGTACTTTCCTTCTAAAAAACAATATGTAAAAAAAAAATTACTACCTACCTACCCTAAATTTTAAACAAGTGTAATCGGGACCACAACATTTTTATTTGGCCTAATATAACGCATGTGGGATAACACTGGTATATAACTCCCAATACGGCCTATGATGCCTTTAACAACTTTCTTAAAGGCATTGTGTATTCAATATTGTCATTAGTACTGTTACAGCATGCGGGGCGGCGGGGTAGCCTAGTGGTTCAAGCGTTGGCTCGTCACGCCGAAGACCTGGGTTCGAATCCCCACATGGGTACAATGTGTGAAGCCCATTTCTGGTGTCCCCCGCCGTGATGTTGCTGGAATATTGCTAAAAGCGGCGTAAAACTAAACTCAGTCAGTCAGTTACAGCATTCGTTATAGCTATGTGTCATGAGATGCCGATGCTACTACTGTTTTCAGTCTATGCTGTTTTGCTATTTTCTGAACAGCATGTATTTAAGTATCACCATATCAGTGTATTACGTATATTTATGTACCAGTATATGTAATGTTGAATAATTCACAGATGCATCGTGAGACTTGCTCACAAAAAGATTCAGAATGTGTCTGGGTACAGGAAAAAGGTCCTTTAGCATTTTAAGCAGTTATACTTATGTCACATTACCTGGTAAAGATCCAGCACAAGTTCTTGATTTATGTAAATCAGTTTCAATAAGTCGTTTGTTATATTGTGGCTAAATATTACAGGGGATTTATCTAGAAATTTATGTGAAGCAGGTTTGGCAGGCAAAGTGGGACAAAAACATTACCTTGTTTTTCATGAACATTGTAACATTGCATTCAGTCTGTTTATGTAAAATTAACGAAGTCTGTTTTATTACTTTTTATTCTTATCAGAGAATGTTTGTGAGCCCTGCAAAGCCTTAAAGTGAATTAGAACCTCCCTGCAACACCAGCCACACCTCCCTGCAGCCAACCTCCCTGCTGCATCAACCTCCCTGCAGCCACATCTCCCTGCTACATCAACCTCCCTGCAGCCACACCTCCCTGCAACATCAACCTCCCTGCAGCCACATTTCCCTGCTACATCAACCTCCCGGCAGCCACACCTCCCTGCTGCAACCTCCTCAGCCACACCTCACATGCTGCATCAACCTCCCTGCAGCCACACCTCCCTGCTACATCAACCTCCCTGCAGCCACATTTCCCTGCTACATCAACCTCCCGGCAGCCACACCTCCCTGCTGCATCAGCCACACCTCCCTGCTACATCAACCTCCCTGCTACATCAACCTCCCTGCTACATCAACCTCTCTGCAGCCACACCTCCCTGCTACATCAACCTCCCTGCAGCCACACCTCCCTGCAACATGCCACACACATCAACCTCCCTGCAGCCACACCTCCCTGCTACATCAACCTCCCTGCTACATCAACCTCCCTGCTAGCATCACCTCCCTGCAGCCACACCTCCCTGCTACATCAACCTCCCTGCAGCCACATTTCCCTGCTACATCAACCTCCCTGCAGCCACACCTCCCTGCAACATCAGCCACACCTCCCTGCTACATCAATCTCCCTGCAGCCACACCTCCCTGCTACATCAACCTCCCTGCAGCCACACCTCCCTGCCACGTCAACCACACCACCCCTGCCACATCAGCCACACCACCCTGCCACATCAGCCACACCTCCCAGCTACGTCAACCACACCTCCCTGCTGCATCAGCCACACCACCCTGCTACGTCAACCACACCTCCCTGCTGCATCCACTACATCAGCCACACCTCACTACCCCATCGGACACCAGCAACCTGTTACAGTACCTACAAGACTTTCCTGCTTCATTGTTTAACAGACCTTGTTTGTGTGAAGAAGATTTCGCGATATTTTTGTGCTGATTGTCTAGCACCCATGTTGTGATGTGCGAGAACAGATGAGGGTGATCTGTATGTGGGTTATTAGGGTAGCAGATGTTGTAATAACCTTCGTTGATGGGTCACACAGACTCACTTGCACCTACCATCCCCAAGTGAAGGCTGGAGCTCACCTGTAGGCTATAGAACCATGATAACGACTTTATATAGCATCTTATCTCCATCAATAGGTACTCAGGTGCGGTGGGGTAGCCAAGTTGTAAAAGCGTTCGCTCGTCACACCGAAGACCCAGGCTCGATTCCCCACAAGTGTACAATTTCTGCTGCCCCCAGCCGTGATATTGCTGGAGTATTGCGTAAAGTGGCATAAAACCATACTTACTCACTAGTCGATAGGTTCTCAGTGGTTCTGTACTAGGGCTGTAACGATGCATCGAACTATAGCCATTAGTCGATGGTAGAAACGACGAACTATCGATGTATGGATAGTATGTGTGACTATCGATAGTTTAGTAATTGACTTCCGTTGGTAAATGGCAGCGCAAATACAGGATGTCTGGGTGCAGACTTGTAGCTTCATTGAGTTTATGTTTTAACTGTTTACTTGATCTGGGTTTCAAGTTTCTTGTCAGTTATTAAACGAGACTGAAACTACTTTAACTTGTTATTATTTCATATAAACTATACATTCATTTGGGAAATGACTTCAAATGAGACAATTCAAGGAGAAAAAATTTATTGCAATAGTTGGTCGCAATAGACTATCACTATGCCAACAGTATATTGCAATAGACTACCCATATTCTGTACGTATCACACTTACACGTGTTAAAAATCAGAGTACATTGTCAATGCCTTGTGGAACAGATGTCAATAAGGATTTGGAAGATGTTCTATTGTCACTCATATGCGATATGCATGCGTGTGTATGGAACAGATGTGGTTTTATAGTGCTAGCTCACTGAGATAAGGATTTGAATACCCCACTCAGAAGATGTTCTAGAGGCAGGGACCAAGAAGTGGTGACTGCAACTGACCTTCCGGACGACCTCTGATCAACTGATTGATGTTTGCTGTTTTGTTTGTAGTGACGACTGGTTTTGTCCACACAGGATGCAGAGAACGGCTAGGTTTATTACTGAGTGATAGACATGTTTCAAGCAAGGGCAGGTATTGTCGTTATATCTATGGCTGTGGGTAAGAATCAGAATTTCGAATCTGTTGTTAGGCCAATGGTTAATGCTATCGTTCATCACACTGTAGAAGTTGAGTACAATTTCTGGATCTTAGTCTTGGTCACTGCTCGAATATATCTGATCCGTGAAGGTCCGGGTTAGAATGAGCCTTCAGTAACCCATGCTTGTCGTAAGAGGCTGACTAACGGGATCGGGTGGTCAGGCTCGCTGGCTTGGTTGACACATGTCATCGGTTCCCAATTGCGCAGATCGATGCTCATGCTGTTGATCACTGGATTGTCTGGTCCAGACTCGATTATTTACAGACTTCCGCCATACAGCTGGAATATATCTGAGTCGCGGTAAAAACTAAACTCACTCACTCACTCACTCGAATATATCAGCAAAGTTCCTCTGTTTACTAGTCTGCTTATCGAGCCAGCCAGACGTGGGATACCCTAGATTGTTCTCGGATGATAAAACTATATTAAAAGGAGATGTAAGTGGACCTACAATGTGTTTCTTATTGAAATAATTTCTGCTGATGGATTCTTATTTCTTGCTTTGAAGTACTGTATTTCACCTAATAAATGTTGATTCTCTACACGGGCCTTCGTAAGGGTTTAAGGCAATATACACCACATGGTCATCTTATGTGTTCTGTATGTGCTGAATTATATTACTTCTCTTCAGAATACATACAACTTCAGAAATAAAGGATCCAGTTTTAGCATTAAAGTCTGAGGAAATTTATCAGTTGCTTGTACGACATTGAATTTGAAAAATTACACTCTAATTTGTCCAGGGTTCCATTAGCTACCGGGAATGAAAGCTTGTTAATAACAATATGAGCTAGCATATACAAAAGCAGATATGAAATTTCAGTAAAACTTCTATTTTTTGTGATCCATTTTTTGATAAATGCCATTGGTTGTGTATATCCTCAGGTATGAAAAAACTCCGCCAAACTTTAGTACATGGTTAGTGTCTGCCCGAGGTGTACTGGTTGAACCTGGTAGTTTTGGAAAAAGAATTAAAATATGGTACTTGTTGGTCCCTGCCTGGCTTTTGGCATTAATGGGTACAACAAGGACTGGTCGGCCTCAGAGTCAGTATAATGTGTCTGAGTGGGGTATTCATGCTTCACTTTGGCATAGTATCTCAGTTATAGCACTATAAAACCAGCTTCAGTCTGGGCAGATAGTACAAGCAGCTGCACATACACATACACATGCATGCACATCGTCACATGGCTACAAATATTCTCATGCACGACGTTAAACCCACTTTCACCTCACCTCAGGTATGAAAAACCCTTGGATACAGCTAACAACCAGACAGTACGTATGTGATATGTTGCGACGATCCATCACTTATTATTAGAAAATCATTTTGAAGGAAATGACAGAAAATATGCTTGGTGAATTTAAAAAAAATTAGAAACATAATGTCGTTTCTGATGACCGGATTGGTTTTTTTGTCAAAAAGACATCTAAGTTTTTTAGAATTTTTTTACTCTTATTTTAAATTAGTTGAAAGGATGACGGTGGTTGAAGACATCCCTTCATAGACAAATCTTGGAGTTTGAACTATTCAGCTATTTTGTCCAAGTCGTGACATGAAGATCGATGTTGGTCTTGTGCTTGTTGACAGAGGGACCAGTTGTATATGGTGGTCAGACATGATGACTTTGATGATAGCGTGCCATCATCTACCATTGGTGTTGATCATTGAATCATTGGGTCAGTAGATTGTCGGTCCAGACTCATCATGTAATTTACACACTGCCATCTTATAGTTGGAGTGAGTGAGTTTAGTTTTACCTGCACTCAGCAATATCCCAGCTATATGGCGGCGGTCTGTAAATAATCGAGTCTGGACCAGACAATCCAGTGATCAACAGCATGAGCATCGATCTGCGCAATTGGGAACCGATGACATGTGTCAACCAAGTCAGCGAAACTGACCACCCGATCCCGTTAGTCTCCTCTTACGACAAGCATAGTCGCCTTTTATGGCAAGCACATGGGTTGCTGAAGAACTATTCTACCCCGGATCTTCACGGGTCTCTTATAGTTGGAGCATTGGTGAAAAAGCGGTTAGACAACAGACTAACAAAACCTTAATCCTACCATTCCCAGATTTGCCAGCGCTGATGCCATCATGTTCATTGTAAAGTGAGCCGATTTCACTATGTCTCTTAATCTAAAATTTGATAGATCTTGTTCTGGGAAAAAAATTGTATTGCAACAAAATATGATACAGGTATTGTATTGCGATACATTTGACTCTATATTCAGAGCTGAAGTCTTCATAATGTGATAGTCACTGTCTGTCCTTGCAGATCCTATTTTTATACATATTAAAGTAAGTATTACAGTGTCTAACTGTGTTTTGGAAGTGAGGTTTGTGGTTATCTATAAAAGGGAGGTAATAACGTGAAAGAAAGTATCTTCACTGTTTTTACTGTTTTATGAATCAGTTTTCTAAAGGAAACAGGAGAGCGGAAGGTCGCGGGTTCGATCCCCGACCGCGTCATACCAAAAGACGTTAAAATATGGTACTTGTTGGCCCATCCCTGGCGCTCGGCATTAATAGGTACGAGAACTGGTCGGCTCGGAGTCAGCATAATGTGTTAGAGTAGGGTATTCATGCTTAACTGCGGCATGGTATCTCAGTGAGCTAGCACTATAACACTAGCTTAAGTCTGGGTTAGTACAAGCAGCCACACATACACACGCATGCACATCGTCATACTCTTAAGTACGACGTTAAACCCCATTTCACCTCACCTCACCTATTAGGGAAACATCATTTGTGTTTGAAGTTCTGATTTTAGGTTACCTATACAGAAAATAACGAATTTGTCATAGTTTTTACCCAAAATTATAACACAGAAAACAATATTGCAAAAATATCATTTCTAAGTGTATTGCATATACCAGCAATATGGCACAGTCTTAGCTGTTGATACTGACTTGAACAAATAATGATGTTAAATTTAGCTCACTTATTCACATCTTCCTCGTTGTGGTCTGATTCTGGTGTCCCCTGGCAATGTTGGCATATTGCTAAACATTTCACTATCTCCATGTTTCTGAACATTTCATCGAAACAATCAAGAAGCAATGGCACTTGCAAAGTAGAGAGGGATTTATTGATTCATTTTGAAATATTGATCTTTGTTTGGTGATATCATTGATTGATTTGAAGATTCGCTTCATGGGTGCCCTGATATATCTCACTGATTACAGTCAGTGTTGCAACTTTGGGATGAATGCCATGGAGCCCACTGTTGTAGTGTTGTTAATCCTCCCGTTAATAATGAAACAGTATCTTGGGCTGAAGATACATAACAAACACTTCCTTTCTGCAGGGGGAGCGGTGGTGGAGCCTAGTGGTGGTGGAGCCTAGTGGTTAAAGTGTTGGCTCGTCACGCCGAAGACCCGGGTTCGATTCCCTATATGGGCACAATGTGTGAAGCCCATTCTTGGTATTCCACACCGTGATATTGCTGGAATATTGCTAAAAGCGGCGTAAAACTAAACTCAGTCAGTCCTTTCTGCAGGTACCCCATTGGTTTGTTTATTTTGAACACTAAGATTGGATTGGATTGGTTGTTGTTTAATGCTGCACTCAGCAATATTCCAGCTGTATGGCGGTGGTCTGTAAATAATCGAGTCTGGACCAGACAATTCAGTGATCAACAGCATGAGCATCGATCTGTGCAATTTGGATAAGATGACCAACCAAGTCAACGACCACCCTATCCCATTAGTGGCCTCTTACAACAAGCATGGGTTGCTGAAGATCAATTCTAACCTGGATCTCCATGGGTCCACTAAAACATTGATAGACCCTTGATCATCCACTGTGTTATGTTTCCATTCTGTCATGATGAGTAGCTGGAGTCATTAGGAGTCTGGTTCGAATTGCACAATGCTATAAATAGCTATCCAATCAAACTACTTTCATGACTGAAACAATCATCTACATTACCAGGATTCATCTTGTCTTACATTAGGGTTTTTTCCTTGACTTTATACTGAAGATGACATATGTTTAGACTTAAGGTTTATTAATTTCTGATTTGATTCAATGTATCAAGGACACTGTTAATCAGGATGCAGCCCACATTCAGGAGAGACATTTTCTTGCTGGTTCAGATTAGAATCTTTGTGATAAATTACTGATAAAAGAAACTGAGTTTGGAGTGAGTGAGTGAGTGAGATTGGTTTTAAGCTGCTTATAGCAATATTCAAGCACTATGATAGCAGAGGACACCAGAACAGGGCTTTACAGTGTGCGAAGTAGTTTCCAAATATTGCTAGCTATGCCTGAAAGTTACTAGCTCACTAAATGATTCACAAGCCTGAAATTTGAATGTAGAAAATAGAAAATAAGCAAAAGATTACAAAAATAGATTAGAATAAGATAAGATATTGTGGGCATGCCACATGTTTCATCATTAAGCTGCTGATATGCTGAACATTTTTATCAGGCCATAATCTTGCATGATTTATAAGTGTATTATTGCTTAACAAGTCGGAGAGTGATATATTAACAAAATGACCCCATGAAAATTCATTAGCCATTCGGGCCAGTGACTGTTGAGATTTACTGGCCCAACTGGATTTTTACTAGCCACAGGCTAGCGGGACAGCAGCTATTTTGCATACTGGCTTCGAACATGGGGTTTTGCTACATCAAACCAATGCTTTAACCATGCGGCTACCAGTCACCAACATTCTGCAACCTGACCATATTTACAAATGGCTCAAGGTATATTGTTATAGAATGGAGACATACTCTTGAGAAACCGCCTCCGTGGTGTAGTGGTTAGAGCGTCCGCCCAGAAAGAGCGGAAGGTCGCGGGTTCGATCCCCAACCGTGTCATACCAAAAGACGTTAAAATATGGTACTTGTTGGTCCCTGCCTGGCTCTCGGCATTAATGGGTACAACAAGGACTGGTCGGCTCGGAGTCAGTATAATGTGTTTGAGTGGGATATTCATGCTTCACTGCAACATGGTATCTCAGTTGGCTAGCACTATAAAACCAGCTTAAGTCTGGGCTAGTACAAGCAGCCGCACATACACATACACACGCATGCACATCGTCATATGAGCGAAATATTCTCAAGCACGACGTAAAACCCAATTTCACCTCACCTCACCTACTCTGGAGAATTATGATATAGACCTGCTGTGTTTTGAAATTCAACTTTGTCTGACTGCAGACAGATACCTCGGATTTCAATTTGGATCTGAGAGCTTTAGCCATTGTCAAGACTAAGTCATCAGAAGATCAATGTATCCATATTCATATTTTTTGTGTCTAAAGAATTTTTAATTTGGAGGTATCAAATGGATTTGATACCTGATATTAGTCCTGCTTTAATCAGAAGAAACTTTCTTTAATGCTCTGAAAGAATGATGGTTGATTGATTTGTGGCATGATATCAGACAGTATTTCTGGGGAGGAGTGCCTGCTCTTTTACAGCGGGGCAGTGGGGTAGTGGTTGAAGCATTTGCTCCTAGCCGAAGATCTGGTTCGATTCCCCACATGGGTACAATGTGTGAAGATCATTTCTGGTGTCCCCAGAGTTATATTGCTGGAATATTGCTAAAAGTGGCATAAAACTAAACTTAACTAACTAGCTAACTCACTCACACACTCACTCACTCAACTCACTCACTCACTCACTCACTTTTACTGCAATGCTATTGGTGGTGGGAGGGATGGAATACTTGAATGTCTGTTTTTTAGCAACAAACACATTTCTGGTGTCCCCGTCGTGATATTGCTGGAATATTGCTAAAAGTGGTGTAAAACCAAACTCACTCATCAGAGAATAGCCATGAGGTTCATTCTTCATCAGTCAATTCAACATCAATAACTTTTCTCATAGTTTAAGGTCAGTTCAGTGTGAAAAGTATACATTATTTTACATGCTATTCTGTCTTGCTGAACTGGTTCTGTCTGAGACTACCTCCTGCGGAAGGAAGGGCAAACATATTTTGTTTTCTGGTCCACGTTCCTCCTCCTCCTCCTCCACCGATGCCAGAACTAATCTGAGCAGTAGCCGGTGGTGGCTGGGGCCAGATAATCTATAATATAGGACTCCTCTAGACAGGCTCTCAAGTCAGTACTGGAATCTATTTGCAGATCAGCCCCTGGTGCCATTGCCCAATATGCCCAAGATGTTGGTGAAGTGAAAGAGGTCCCCCAGAGTCACTACGTTAGTGCTGTTACTGCCGCCAACGACGAGGCCAGGACGACATCAAGAGAGAAAATGACGTCCAACAACTACCAATGTGAGTGAGAGGTTGCTGGTGTTAACTGCAGAGGCAGGAGAGCTATTTCCGTCCTGTGGTTGCTATGTTTAGGTGGCCGTTGCTATTTCTGAATTCGTGATTACAGCTTAGGGACACATTTTTCTCCCCGACCAAGATGGGCTAGTGGGTAGGGTGATAGGTCGCTGATGAAAATCCAATCGATCGGAAACATGGTTACATTTTGTGGTAAAAGTGCCCGAAAACATTTTTCTTGGCAGTGTCTCAACAAATTCCGTGGGCTACATGGATAAGTGATGTGTTAGCTCACTGGCTATAAGTTGGGTGGTGGAGAGTGAACTCATCGATATCTTAATGTCATTGGTTAAACTGTGTCATGCAAGCAGTTTGTGTCATCGGTGGGATTTTTAGCTCACTTGATTTTACAATTTTTAGCTCACCTGAATTTACAATTTTAAAGTTACCCGATTTTGCAATTTTAAAGCTACCTGGTTTTACAGTTTTAAGGCTACCTGATTTCGCAATTTTAAAGCTACCGATTTTGCAGTCTTAAAGCTACTTAATTTTACAATTTTATAGCTGCCTGATTTTGCAATTTTAAAATTACCTGAATTTACAATTTTGAGTTACCTTCAAAGTTTTTTTTATCTGTTTTAGCCCTCTGTCAAACTATTAACATTTTAAGAGCTGAAATACCACAAACCTGAATTTGGAAAGGACTATACCTGAAAAAATAGTATTGTGTTTTATGACACATGTCATCGGTTCCCAATTGCACAGATCGATGCTCATGCTGTTGATCACTGGATTGTCTGTTCCAGACTCGATATTTACAGACCGCAGCCATATAGCTGGAATATTGCTGAGTGCGGCGTAAAAATAACTCACTCACTCACTTTAATCAGGTGTCAGGTGTTTGACAGACATAGAGCAAGTTGGCTGATACAAAGACATACCTGTTTTGTGTGTTTTATGTTTTAATTGACAAAATGTCAAATTACCAGGACCATTTTGTTTTCTTCTGTATATCATTATTGAATATTCCTTTATTTCAGAGTATCTTAATATTAAGAAATATGAAAATGTTTAGAACAGATGCTAGAATCATCTTTCTTGTCCAATGCATCTCTAAACTAAAATAACAGGACACAGAATTAAAAGCATGTCCATTAAAACGAAACATTATTTCCACAAAAAGATATTAAGATGTGTTAAATAGATGCCAAAGCAAACGCAAGGGGGTTAAACAATATGAACATGTCAATTAGAAAATGACAATTATATAAAGAAAATGTGTAAACGTCAAAAAGATATGAAATTAACATATATTTTTTAAAAGACCTGGTTTCAATTTCCCCACATGAGTACAATAGCTGGGTCCATTTCTGTTGTCTCACACCATGACATTGCTGGATTATTGCTAAAAGCAGCGTAAAACCAACTCACCAAAGAGAAAAAAGCAAGAAAATGGATGGGCAGCTAAAAACTCTGTTCCTTTGTCTATTGTGTGTTATTGTGACATAATGACTTTGTAGATAGCTGCTCGATTGACTCATCCAGACATTTTTCAGACCTGGAATAGTCTTGGTTGCAGTGTATAACAGACAGACAGACAGACAGACAGACAGACAGATAGACAGATAGACAGACAGATGCTCTCAGGAGTGTTGATGAAAGAGATGTGAATGTTAAAATAGTAACAGCTTATTTGAGCTGGTTAGTTCATTAAAAGATCGCACAGCTCTTTCATAATTCTGATAATTTGGCAACTTCCTGTTTTGACATTATTTAATAGGTTATGTTTTATTTCCTGCTTTCTTAGCTGTGGATAACATTACAGTGTTGTGAAGAAGATCCTTCATTTTCTGGCAGCCATTAACCATTCATGTAATACCTTTCGCTAAGTAAGATTTCTGGCATATTTGACCTCTCTTGTTAGAAACATTGATTTGGTACTAAGCCTTGAACCAGAAAGGACTAGGTACAAGTGTATATCCAGTACGAGAACCAGGCCGCTGGTATAGTGTGTTATGTATACCAAAATTGCTCTAATTAGTACTTCAAAGAATAATTTCGTAGGTGCAAATTGATCGTAACCATAGAAACGGAATGTTTTATGTGCGAGTGATTATGGGATGTTAGCGTGGCTGGAGTGTGAAATATTCTCGATCAGGGATCTGTTGATACATTTGATGATTAAATGTAGTAGTTGTGTGATGTTTGCTTGTAGGAGCCCTGGTATCCCAGCATGCTCGTCTGCTCCACATTTTCCGTGATAGTTGTTTTGTTTGTTTCTATCTTTTTGTGTCGTATGTAGAAGAAAAGAAAATTTACAGCTGACTAAACATGCAAAAGTAAATATGAATTTATTGTTTTTTAAATATATTTTTTAATGACATTTTTTTTTATAATTCTTGGAATGAAAGGAGCTGTTCAACACTCTTGCTGAATATAGAACATGTAAAGTTTGTAATGTTACTCTAAAGAAATCGGAGTTAAGGAACACACAGTCTTTCATATGATTATAGAGTGTTGGCAGCGGTCGAAATACCTGCCTGCCCGGGACGTGTTATTTTCAACACGGACTGCAGATTCTCAAATTTACCTGCGTGACGGTCAGGTGAAAATTTAGACATGTATATGAAGATATTTTGTGGGCAGGTACGTTCTGGTCAGGGCTGGCAAGTTTTAATGTTTGGGAGTTTCATACCCTGGTATAAGTCAGACCTGTTGGATATTATGACAGTGAGGCTACCAATTGTGGGTGTTCTTTAACAGTGTGTGTGCATGCATGTGTGTGTAAATTTTTTTCTGATCAGATCTGAGGTTGGATAGTTTTCTGGTTATGTCCACGTTCACATGATAGTCTCTTTATCTCCTGATTTAGTCAAAGTCATTATAGTTGAAATAGTTGTAATTTATACAGAACTGTAACCTAAATTCGTGGATAACCTTGATTCGTGGATCGCGGAAATTATCATGCTAGCTCGTAAATTAGGTATCGACTGACGTCACGAAGCAGTACTTTTAATGTAAATACAATGCCACGCCTGGCTGACAAAAAAGTTCCGAATTTCTGCATTACACGCAAGTACACTAAATATAATTGTCCAGCATTGAGATAAATAGCCCCATATCACTAATACCACCATTACCAAATTTTATTTGTACAAAATGTCAAGTAAAAAAGATACCGCTAGCTCCAACCTTCTCACTTCTCGTTGTCTGCTTTCCTTGGGGTCAATACTTACTGCAGTGGGATGTCGTACATAGTGGTATAAAGTAACCGACTACGTAATCCACGAAACAAGGTGACGTCACATTTTGTGGGCACACGAATGGGTGATGATTGCAAATGGCTTCTGTAAACAAACGTTTCATTAATGAGTGGAATATTAGGTATTTTCAATTTGCTGATACAATGAATAAAATTATCAGTGCGTTTACAAAATGAAATCATGCATTTAAAATATGAATTTCGTCGCACTTCCCTTATATCCACGAATCAAGGTTACGTGAGTGTATAAGATGCCTGAAATATATACATTGTGACAGAAAAGTGAAATCTGATGTTTTGTGTAAATAAATATTGTGAAAACAGATGCTCACCTAAAAACTTCTCTCCCTTGAATGTCTGTATATAATTTTTGAAGAGTGAATTTTTATTTCATTATCAAACATTTCACATTAAAATTTAAAAAAGAAAATGGTGGGAGTAATGTTTTTGTTTAACTTTAATGTCTAAATTTATTATTTTTAGAAGCTTTTTCAATGCCAAACACAAAATCTTTTGAAACTTAAAAAAACAACCTGACAGATTGGATTATATTTAACTGTAATGTGTAAAGAAAACAAAAGAATATTTGGCAGTGTATAAATTTGAATATTTTGAATTTCACTCACGCTGAGACATGTTTTAATTTACAGTATGTGTATTTTTAATGTGAAGGGACACACCCTTCAAACTGGATGAAGTGAAAGATTCTAGATAATCATCACAATCCCTGAGCCAAATTCAAACCCTTCCATCCACCCTTTTTTGTTATGCAAAAGAACTAAATGGAGCAAATCTAGATTTTTCTGGGGTTCTGAATCTCTTTCCTCACAAAGCCCCCTTTCAGTTTTAATGGAGTTATTGTTTCTGTAAAAATAATGTTTTCAGAGATTAAAACTTATTCAAATAACCAGAACTCCTGGTCTGTTATCGCCATTGTTTCCCATGAGATTGTAACAGAAGGTGTAACTGGCATCCATTTTACTGTTCACATGATACAATACTTTTATTACAAATGTGTATCCACAAACAGAAAAAGCGATAGATCATAGGCTTCTTCTCATACCGTTAAGTTCAGAGATATATTTGAAATGCTCGCTTGTGTAACTCAAGACGGACTCATAAATGTCATCATCGTACCACAGCTTCGCATCGCTTTATCAAAGCATTTTGTTACCAAAGCAGATTATCTCTGGCTTAATTAACTCAACTGTGCCTGATAGCTTCAACTCGTTTACATATTATATTTAACCTGTGTCTTTTCTTAGAATCCGTCTTTTTGTAAAAACATGCTTGGCTATTTCTGATCGTGAGAACATCACCTTACCATCTTGGAAGGCAATTTTATTTTGTGATCATTGGTATCACCAACCTTTATGCTTTGATCATGACTGATTACCAGATCAGAGACATTTTAACTATGTATGTATAACAATGGCTGAATGATAACTCATCATTAATATCCTTTCAGAAATTGATATTTGTACAGTGTATCAGTGAATTGCACAATTTTTAATGTTTGAATAATTGAAAAATTATTATTTATGGGATGCTGTAAGTATGCACGTTATATAGACACCCAAATCTAGGTTTGAAATGCTTCTTAATGAGACTGACTGAGTTTGGTTTTACGCCGCTTTTAGCAATATTCCAGCAATATCACAGCGAGGGACACCAGAAATGGGCTTCACTCATTGTACCCATGTGGGGAATCGAACCCGGGTCTTCGGCGTGACGAGCGAACGCT